TTTATGTTTTAGAAAGAGAATTGGCGGCACTAGCACAGATGGACCAAATAGGGAGACAGACAGACAGACTACACTTGGGTGTAGTTTTTAGAAGTCTTGGAAAGCCCAGGTGAGAGATGTTTGTTGAAGGCGCAAATCTGTAGCGACAATTAGACTAGAATGAAGGGATAGTTTTGAGAGAAATTTTGAGATATAATTTAAAGGTCTGTGTCTGAAATGAGGTAGTATTAGAGTTAAAATTTACTCCTAGGTTTCTGCCTTGAATAACTAGACAGAGGATGATCCCACTCATCATAAGGTAGAAAAATCAGATGAAAAGCAGTAGTTGGGGGCGCCCGGGCCGCTCAGTCGTTAAGCGTCTGCCTTCAGCTCAGGTCATGATCCCAGGGTCCTGGGATCGAGCCCCGCATCGGGCTCCCTGTTCAGCGGGAAGCCTGCTTCTCCCTCTCCCACTCCCTCTGCTTGTGTTCCCTCTCTCGCTGTGTCTCTCTCTGTCAAATAAATAAAATCTTTAAAAAAAAAAAAAGCAGTAGTTGGTTGGGAGAAGGAGTATTACATAGCTTCGGCTTAGGACTGTCTGCTCTGTACATAGGACGAGCAATGTGATAAATAGTGGGGGGTGGCATGGCCTTTGGATAGATAGGATATTATGACATAATTGATACTATGGCATATACAGGGTAATATACAATATAGGTGATTGATCTTATTTTAAGCTTAATTCCTGATCTCTCCTACGTGAAACCCTATCTAGTCTTTATTTGCATTTCCATAATGGGAAGTGTTTACAATAAAAGGCAAAACCCAGATGATTTAACAATGTCTGGTTAGCCCTTGTTGAATAACAAACCACTCCAAACTTAATGGCATAAGAGAGCCACCATTTTATTATTCTGTGGTCACAAATTTGGACAGCACATAGTGGGAATGGTTTGGAAATGTATTGGGTCTTAGAGAACGAAGGAAACCAATCCTGGCTATAAAAGGGGGACATAGAAATTCATTTTTACTAATCATGATTATCCTGAAAGTTTGGCCCTGGTGTGACGTAAGAGGAATACTTTGTTCTTATAACCTCTTGAAAATAAACAGAAAAGAAATTGTATTTTATCTAGTAACAAAAATCTCTATTGTCCGAAATATTTCTTGTCACTGTTTATTTAAAAAGGCATGTAGTGTGAGGTCTCCCCATATTTGTCCTCCAGTTTCCCAGTTCTTTCCCACTCACCCACAAATTAAAAACAAAACAAAATAAAGTCAGACAGCTGCTGCTTTGAGTTTTTGAAATCTTTCAGAGATTTTTTATAATAATATGCCATGTATGGACATAGCCTAGTTTGTTTAATCCGTTCCCTGGTGATGGACATTGGGTTGTTTGCGGTCTTTTGCTTTTATAAACAATACTCCAGAAAGTGGCCTTACACATTCATAATTTCCCATAAGTAGGATGCATTCTAGTAGCTAAAGTAACAAGGTGTGGTATACACATCTGTAATTTTGATAGCTACTGCTATATTCTGCTCCTTAGGTCAATGGGTTAAAAACCCAGTTGTGAACCTACCAGCTGTGTGGAGAGTGCTTGTCTTCCCTTGGCTTTGCTATCAAGTATGGGATCAGATGTGTTTATTTAGCTAATCTGATAAGGAAAATATGGTAGTAACTTGTGCATTTTTTTCTTGCATTTTTCTTAACTAAGCTTTTTGTTTGAAGGTAATTATTCTTTGTTTCTATGAATGTCTTCATATTCTTTGTCCATTTAAAAATTTAGATTGTTGGGGCACCTGGGTGGCTCAGTTGGTTGAGCATCTTATCTGGCTCTTGATTTCGGCTCAGGTCATGATCTCAGGGTCATGGGATTGAGCCCCCGTGTTGGGCTCCACGCTTAGTGCGGAGTCTGCTGGAGGTTCTCTCTGTCCCTCTGCCCCTCCCCCTGCTCGCTCTCTCTCTCCCTCTCTCAAATAATTAGATTGTTGCTTTTCTTCTTACCTGCTTTTAGGGGTTCTTTGTTATTCTTGTTTTTGCTTTAGAAAATGTTTTAGGGGATGGGGACTACCTGGGGATAGATGAAAGGAGCAAAAGCTAAGGTACCAAAAAAAAAAAAAAAAAACCCAAAATACTAGATATTAAATAAGATCTTACCCTGAATCTATTGCTCATTCAGTTACAGATATTAGGCTCAGGTGGTTGGTTATATCTAAAAAATTGATCATAAAATCTAAAAGATTAAGGAAAAAGCCTAAATCACAAAGCAGCATTAACACTCCTACCTATCTTTATTACTTTCTTATTGAAAAGACTATAGCAGGATGCCTGGGTGGCTCAGTCAGTTAAGCGTCTGCCTTTGGCTCAAGTCATGATCCTAGGGTCCTGGGATCGAGTCCCACATCTGGCTCCCTGCTCAGTGGGGAGCCTGCTTCTCCCTCTCCCTCTGCTGCTCCCCGTGCTTGTGTGTGCTCTCTCTCTCTCTGATAAATAAATAAAGATAAAATCTTTTTTTTTTTTTAAAAAAAGACTAACGATTTCAGGAAAATGCTTTAAAGTTGTTTTAAAACTATTACCCATTATAATTCTTGAACATCACATTTTGTTTTTATTTTTTCACAGTAAATCCTCATTTGTACCTATATTAAATAGTAGTATCACAGGACATATTCATGTTATCATAGATTCTTCATAAGCTCTTACAGTCTGTCACTTAATAAATATGTATTTGTATAGCTATGATTTTTAATGACTCCATCAAAATGTCCTATAATTTTTAAGCCATTCCCTAATTTGGGCTACTCAGGTTGTTTCCATGTTTTTGCTCTTATAAGTTGTACTGCTGAGTATCTTCTTTCATTTATGTTTTTATTTTGTTGAGTTATTTCCTTAGGATAAATTCCTGAGTAGAGTTATAAGAATAAAGCGTATGAACATTTTAAGGATCTTTATATGTACTGCCATGTTGTTTCCAAATTGTAAAAATACATAGTGTAACCAGCAGTGAGTGAGACGCTAGAACCACACAATGCGGAATGTGCTGGAGCCACATCCCCAGGACTGTCAATTTTCAATTAAAGAAAAAAAAATTCTTCTTTAAGTAGATTTTAAAAGTCTATCATGGTTGTATTAAATTTCATGTCTTTAACTAGTCACCAGGCTTTTTTTTAAGGCCTCACACATCAGTATGAATTATTCTAAAATATTTTGCCTCACACTTCAACTGCTCTCTTAGGCACCTGATCACAGGGTGAGGGGTTGTGGACACTTTTTCCTGACCCCACTGTCTGTGAAGTTAAATAGCCCTCTTCCCTCCTCTTCACCTGAACATTCATTCTTACTCAGTTCATCCTTACGGGTGCTCTCAGCCAACCACCCGCTTTTCTTTCACATACACCTTCCCTCCTGCTACTGAGCCATTCTCTCTCTCTGTGATCTCTTTTTGACTATTTTAATTCATTCAGCTTTTAAACACACCATTTGCAGAGGCTCATACTTCTGCATGGCTTCTATTATACATTTATCCTTGTTGTTTTATTTATAAACAATTGTAGTAGGAGCACGTGGGCAGAAATGGATCCCCTCCCCTCTTACCTGCCTCAACCTTGAACCATCTGTGTTTCCAGAATCTACTTCCAACCATTCCATGCTGCACTGTCACCCCTTTGTTTTTTGTGTGTGTGTGTGTTTTTAAGATTTTTATTTATTTATTTGGCACAGAGAGAGAGAGAACACAACAGGGGGAGAGTCACCCCTTTGTTATTGAAGATGTTCCTTGAGTCTGGAGTTTTCTTTTACCTTCACATTTTGGATTCGTGTTAGTTTTCTTTTGCTGGGTAACAAATTAGCCTCATACTTAATGGGTTAAAACAACCTAAATTTATTATGTCACATTTTTCCTTGCATCAGAAGTCCAGGTGCAGATTGGCTGGGTCCCCTGCTCAGGGTCTTCATAGGTGGAGATCAAGGGGTCAGCAGGGCTTTGTGCTCTTCTGGAGTTCAGGGTCCTCTTCTAAGCCCATTCACACTGTTGGGAGAATTCATTTCCTTAAGGTTGTAGGAGTGAGGGTCCCATTTCTTGCTGACCGCCAGGACCTCCCCCGGCTTCTAGAGGCCTCCCTCAGGTCCTAGCCACATGGCCTTCTCATTTCTGGGAGCTGGTTTGCTCCGATGGACCTGCATATAAAGTAACCTAATCACAGGGGTGAAATCGCATCACGTTCCTGGAGCCACCCACACTCAAAGGGAGGGATTTACGCAGGGCACGCATGTCAGGAGTGGAATCTTGAGGCCATTTGCAGCCTCCCCAGGATCCTAATCATCTTTAGGAAAAGTTATGCTCCTTTCATGAGCCCTTTCTGTAAGCTTTTCCAGTAGTATGTGTTGCTCCCTTGCCTTCTTCACACAGGGCTTTATATCTTTGGTCTTACTCTGTTTCAGGTGGGCGAAATAAACCTTTCAAGTTCATGGTGTTGCCATAATGTCAACAACACAGCTTACCTTTGCAGTGAATGGTAGTAGATAAGCATTTTACTTTGGCTTTCTTGCTCTCCGTGTATTTTTGAGGTAACGCTTACTAAGGGTGAAGGTTGTTTTAATAAAATTGAGGGTTCTTTCTGAATATTAACAGTCCACTCTGGCATGTTTTGAACACACCTGCCTGTTTAGTAAGCCATGTAGGGACAAGAGACCATCTTTTCTCTCTCCTCTGTAACCTGCACATAGTAGGCTAAATGTTTGAATCAGGGCAAACAAGGATTACTCAGAGGCAGGAACCAGGGCTTTAAAGAACCTGGAATGTAATTATAAATGAAAGGCAATATTAGAGACAGTGTGACTCCAGAGTGCTTCAGTGAAGGAAGTGAGTGAGGAATGTGGGAAGCATGAGAAATGTTAAGACAGAGACCCTCATGGATGTCTCCACAGCTCCCCCCAGTGCCTCACCACTAGGAGGTGCTCAGCCATTCACCTGCGAAGTCTTTATATTTTGTAAACCAGTTTTGTTTTCCCAATTGTAGCTGGTGCTCAAGATCGGATCGGTTGGGCCTTTGGCCTAGGATTGGAAAGACTGGCCATGATCCTCTATGACATCCCTGACATCCGCCTCTTCTGGAGTGAGGATGAGCGTTTCCTGAAGCAGTTCCGCGTGTCAGATATCAACCAGAACGTGAAATTTCAGGTAAAAGGACTTGAAGAATCAAATAACAATAATAATAATGATAATAATAATAACACTGGTTTTTAAGGATTGAAGGGTCATATACTTGAAAAGAAACTTGTGGAATTTAAATATAATGTGTATTTGAAAAGAGGTTTTTTTTTTAAGATTTTTTTTTATTTATTTGAGAGAGAGAGCATGAGCAAGAGAGCAGGAGGGAACATGACCAGCGGGTAGGGATCAAGGGACAGGGAGAAGCAGGCTCCCTGCTGAGCAGGGAACCTGATGCGGGGCTCTGTCCCAGGACCCGGGGATCATGACCTGAACTGAAGGCAGACATTTAACTGACTGAGCCACCCAGGCATTCCTTGGAAAGAAGTTTTAAATAGAGGTCCATAAAGACACATGAGTTCATAAACCATCAGAAATTGTATGCAGAAAAATAAGAGATTTATCAAGCTTTTAGTCTGGGCAAAGAACTAACTTTGGGCTTTGTTAATGACCATTTTATCATTATGAAATAGCCATCTTAAATCACCGATAATACTTTTAAAAATTTTAGTTTTTCTGGTACTAATGTATACACACTGGCTTTCTTATGATTAGTGTTTGCAGTGTGTGTCCTTTTCCTCATTTTATTTTCACTCTAGGTCCTTATATTAAGTGTGCCTCTTCTAAACTGCATAGAGTTGGGTCTTTTTATTTAAGCCCGGATTTAACTGGAGTGTTGAATACCTCTTACAGTTACTATAATTACCTGGGAGATTCTTGGGCTTAATTCTGTCATTTTTTATTTCTTCCCCATTTCCCCCTTCTCTTCTTTCTTTCTTCATTTGGAAACTGAGGTTATGTGTTTTTTGGTTTGTTTGTTCTTTTATTCCATTTTATTACCCCTGTTCTTGTTCAGTCTCACTATTTTGTATTTTTTTAAAAGATTTATTTATTTGTTATTTTAGAGAGAGAGAGAGAACGTGAGCTCTCCGGACCCTGAGATCATGACCTGAGCTGATATCAAAAGTCAGTCACAAAACCGACTGAGCCACCTAGGCACCTCTCCATTTTGTATTTTTAAGTAGCTCTTCTAGATTACAACAGGCATAATTAACCCATCACCCTTTACCATGGTGACTGTTACACAGCTTCCTAAGACATTTAACATCCGTCAGGAGTGTAGTTTTGTTTACTCCTCTTGAATTTAATATTACTGTTGTTACTTTATTTCTCCGTGTATTATAATCCCATAGTATATCACTCTATTTGCTTCAAGTAGCCAACTGTCTTTTTAAAGAGACTTAAAGCTATGTTGTTTTATATCTCCCTTGATATTTATGCCACTGATCATCATTCCTTTCTGCCGATCTTGGTTTTTCTCTGTGATCATTTCCCTTTGGTCTGGAGAACTTCCTTTAATATTTTCCTGTAGTGCAGCATGAATGTTCGCAGTTTGCCTGTCTGGAAATGCCTTTTCTTCACCCTTACTTTTTAGGAGTATTTTCTACGAATATAGGTATCTAGGTTGCCAGTTTGTGTACACGTGTGCTTGTATGTATGGGCACGTGTGGATGTGTGTGCATGTGTGGGTGTATGTTTGTGTGAGTGAATGTGTAGGTTCCTTTCAGCTCTTGAAACGTGTCATTCCATTGCCTTTATCTTTGTACTCTGGTTTTTAGTGGTTTGACCTATGTGTGATTTTCTGTCTATTTTCCTGCTTGGGCTTTCACTGGGTTGGATTAATGTCCTTCAACCACCCTTGAAACCCTCATCTAAAATCTCTTCCAACAATTCTACTCTATTCTTTCTTTTCTTTTCAGGCCGTAACTGCATGTATGTCAGAGCATTTGAAATTATGCCATAGTATTCTGATTCTCAGGGTGTGTGTTTTATTACCGATTTTTTTTTTTTTTTTAGCTCAGTGCTTTATTTTGGATAGTTTTTGTTCTCTTATCTTTGGGTTTACTAACCTTTTCTGTTTTGTCCATTTAACTATTAAGCCCTTCCAATGAATTCATATTGTACTTATCAGTTCTGCAATTTCTATTTGCTTCCTTTTTAGAGTTTTTATTACTCTGGTGAATTCTTCATCTTTTCGCCCATTTTGTACATTTTCCCTTAAATTCTTTAGTGTCTTCATAATAGTTGTTTTTAAGTCCTATCTGTAAATTCCAACCATTTTGTTATCTGTTCTCCTTTTATTCTTTTTTTCTTCTTCATTATGGGTCACGTTTTTCCTGCTTTTCCACTTACCTTACTTTTATATTGTGTATAAAAGAACAAAGAAGCTGAAGTAGGTAATATCTGTCCTCAGAAAGCCTTGTCCTTTGCCCTGTCAGGCAGCTAAGGTGACTAGGCAAGATCTCTTTGTTCTAATCAGGAGTCAAACTGGATTTCATATCTGATTTCCCGTTGATGGTGAGATCTGGCCTGCAGCAGAGTCTGGGATCTCTGCATGTGAGATTACATCTCTCTCCTTTCCACCCAGTTGCCAGCTTCTTCACCACCTGTGCTTGCTTGCCAGGCAAAAGCATGATGAAGGAGCACTGACTGGCTGTGGGGTCTCGCCGTTTCTCCACCTCCCAGTCTGCCATACTAGCCGATGTTTGGCTGATCAAAGTTGGGCTCCTGTCTCCTTATTGCAGCCAGGTTTCTGCGCCAAGGGCAGGCTAGCTCTTCTGCCCACTCATGGCCGGGGTCTCATCTCCCTCTGAAATTCTGCTCGATTAGGCTTGTGTCCAGATCTCCTCAGTGTCTTGCACGACAAATAAGATTTCTGAATTTATTGTGTTCTCATCATTACAGTGGGACCAGTGGTTTTCTGTGACTTTTTGTGTTCTAACCAAAAGTGGAAAAACCTCCTACAACTTACTCACATTTTTAGTTTCACCTTTAGTGGCCTTTAAAAAAAATCCCTTTTTTTTTTTTTTCAAGTAAGCTGTTATTTTTGTTCTAGCACCAGGTCTATGTTAATTTAGAATAAAGCTCCATCTAAGTGATCAGCTGTGAAAACCTGACTAAGGATGTAAGTCTTTCTCATTCACCTTTTCGTTTTGTTCAGTCATTTATTTAATTGGCAAAATTGATGGAACACCAACCAACACTGTACAGAGCAGGGTGCTCAGTGCTGGCGGGACATTCACAGATGACTAACACAGTTGCTGCCACAAGTCAGTGGCTCAAGTCCAATGTTAAGTGCACTGTAACTGTCACCTCTTAGGAAACACAAAGATCCCCAGGAAGAGAGACATGTCATTTTTTGTCATTTCTTCTGCCTTCCAATTTCAAAATCAGTGCACGCATACTTACACTATAATGTAATTTAAATGGCTCTCTTTGTGTAATAAACTTAACTTCTGATGGAGCAGTTAGGATTTGATCGCTGAAAAAATATCTGTCTATAAAATACTTTGGAAATTACGGGTCACGGAGAGCTGTTTTCGAATTATTCACCCGTATTTAGTATTTATTGATTATATTCTACGCTAGCTCCCTATTGCTGGCATAGCAAGCTACCACAAACCTAGTGGCTTACAACATCCTTTATTATTTTATAGTTTCAGAGGTCAGAACTATAAGATCAGTCTGGGCTAACGCGAAGGTGGCAGCAGGGCTGATTCCTTCTGGCGGCTCAAGGGGAGAATCCGTTTCCTTGCCTGTGAGCTCTTGTCGGGCTGTTCTCATTCTCAGATCATGGCTTCCCCTCACACTGCCTTTTCCCCTCTCCTTCCCTCTGTGGTCATCTTGCCTTCTCTGAATTTTTGTCTTCCTCTTACAAGAAAAGGACCCTTGTGATGACGTGAACCCACCAAGATGATTCAAGATAATCTCCACATCCCAGTATCCTTTTCTTTTCTTTCTTTAATTTTTTTATTATTATGTTATGTTAGTCACCAAACATTACATCATTAGTTTTTCATGTAGTGTTCCATGATTCACTATTTGCGTATAACACCCAGTGCTCCATGCAGTATGTGCCCTCTTTAATACCCATCACCAAGCTACCCCATCCCCCCACCCCCCTCCCCTCTAGAACCCTCAGTTTGTTTCTCAGAGTCCATAGTCTCTCATGGTTCGTCTCCCCCTCCGATATACCCCCTTCATTTTTCCCCTCCTGCTATCTTCTTTCTTTTTTTTTTTTAATATATAATGTATTATTTGTTTCAGAGGTACAGGTCTGTGATTCAACAATCTTACACAATTCACAGCGCTAACCATAGTACATACCCTCCCCAGTGTCTATTACCCAGATACCACATCTCTCCCACCCCCCACCACTCCAGCAGCCCTCAGTTTGTTTCCTGAGATTAAGAATTCCACATATCAGTGAGGTCATATGATACATGTCTTTCTCTGATTGACTTATTTCACTCAGCATAATATCCTCCAGTTCCATCCACGTCATTGCAAATGGCAAGATCTCATGCCTTTTGATGGCTGCATAATATTCCATTATATATATATACACTCACACACACACACACACACACACACACACCCCACATCTTCTTTATCCATTCATCTATTGATGGACATCTTGACTCTTTCCACAGTTTGGCTATTGTGGACATTGCTGCTATAAACATTGGGGTGCATGTACCCCTTCGGATCCCTACATTTGTATCTTTGGGGTAAATACCCAGTAGTGCAATTGCTGGGTTGTATGGTAGCTCTATTTTCAACTTTTTGAGAAACCTACATGCTGTTTTCCAGAGTGGCTGCACCAGCTTGCATTCCCACCAACAGTGTAGGAGGGTTCCCCTTTCTCCGCATCCTCGCCAACATCTGTCATTTCCTGACTTGTTAATTTTAGCCATTCTGACTGGTGTGAGGTGGTATCTCATTGAGGTTTTGATTTGGATTTCCCTGATGCCAAGCGATGTTGAGCACTTTTTCATGTGTCTGTTGGCCATTTGGATGTCTTCTTTGGAAAAATGTCTTCTGCCCATTTCTTGATTGGATTCTTTGTTCTTTGGGAGTTGAGTTTGATAAGTTCTTTATAGATTTTGGATACTAGCCCTTTATCTGAT